CGACGACTACTACTACCACCACTACCACTACTACCACGACTGCCACGACTACCATTACTACTACTACTACTACTACTGCTGCTGCTGCTGCTGCTGCTGCTGCTGCTGCTGCTGCTGCTGCTGCTGTTGCTGCGACTACTACTACCACTACTACTACTACTACTACTACTACCACCACTACCACTACTACCACGACTACCACGACTTGTGCACAGACTACCCTTACTACTACTACTACTACTACTACTACCACTACTACTCCTGCTGTTGCTGGTGCTGCTGCTAGTATTACTACTGCTGCTACTACTGCATCGATGATAAGACCAGCGCAGAGCTCCGCGGTTTCGCACCCGGCACCACTTGTTGAGTTTTATCTCAATCCCGGCACTTGTCATCCTTGTGATCAACATCACCACCACAATCTACATCTGCTTCCGCATGGCAGTCATGGTGATGACGACAATCCTGATAGTGATGGTTGGTGATGTGGTCATGATTACTGTGATCATCAGGAGCGTGTTCAGCTTACTCGTCGCCGTCCCTCTCTTATCATCGTCATTCGCTGCTCGTCGTCTACATCCTTATCCCTTTTCATCACAATCAGCGCTTCCACTGTGTGTTTCCAGCTGAAGGAAAGACTGTACGTCTTCGACGGCTTCGCTGGTTGGGACCCGGATTACCGCTACAAGGTAGCGGTTGTTTGGTGTTGAGAGCTTTGCAAGCATTGCCCGACTTGTGCGACACTGGCGAGGATGAATGGTTCGGAACACTCATGCATATCGTGCTGTTGGTCCCGATATCAACAGCACAATGATGATTATGTGAACTGTAGTAGCTAGACTTAACATAGTGCTGCACTGAACAGAACAATCCTAACAACAACCAACGGCTTATGAGTGTTCATGATGCTCCCGATAATTTTTGTTATTGGTGTTTTTTTGTCTCATCGTAGTCGTCATCGACATGGCCAGCATCGGTGTCATTATCATCCTCGCCAACATCGTCAGCATAGGTGTCATCATGTCACCATCGCTCTCAGCATCAGGATCGTCGTCATCAAACCGTCATCACCACCCCCACCACCACCGCAGCTACCACAATCTCTAGTTAAAGAGTCAGCAGCACATATGTACTGCTCGCATGTTAAATCGCCATCATCTTACAGCATACATCATCATCATCATCATCAGCATCATCAGCATCATCACCATCATCACATGGTGATGATGATGATCATCTTCTCATGTCTCTATCTGCCCGACCATCCTCGTGATCATGACCGTCAAAAACACAATCAACAGCGTTACCGTAAACAGCATGTCTCTTATCATCATCATCATCATCATCATGATATGCACCATCATCATCATCATCGTCACCATCATCATCGTCATCATCATCGTCATCATCATCATCGCTTCCATCGTCGTCATCATTATCGTCGTCATCATCATCATCATCATCACCATTTCCGCCGTCACCACTGTCATCACCATCATCGCCTTCCTCATCTTCACGACCGCCGTCAGCACGGTCATCATCAGCATCATCGCAATCAGAACAAACATCCCAGTCGCTGCAACCATCGTTTGTCCCATGGCCGTGGGCGAAGCTCTTCAGAATGTGAGCCGGGTGTGGCTTATAGTGTTCTCGGCAGGTCCGCATCATCACGAGCCGAGCGTACCATGCGCTCTTCATGCACAACATGCTGATTCGGCCGACAGAGGAGGTGCACGGGCCGATTTGTCAGAGCTCGTGGTGAGAAGCGCCAGTGCAATTGATCAGCAGCAGTCACGAAAAAACAAATCCAAGGGCAATGTTAGTAGCTAGGCTCAAAGTTTTTCAGAAGCTTGACCAGCATTGAAGATCAGGTGAAAAAGCAATTGCTTCTTCGTTGTCCAAGCATCGCATCGCTGGTGTCCTCCTTGTCACTGCCATTGACTTGTCTTGGACAGATCTTTGTCATTTTCACACTGTTGTGTTTCGTGATCCAAGACAGGATTCCTCGGTGCTGAGACCAGGATCTACGACCTTGAAGCAATTAAGACTCTACTAAACCTAGAACCGAGAAGCACCAGACCTGCAGCCCTTTACTCCTGAACCCTTTTGCCTCAACGCTTTCAACACTGTTAAGCTGCCTACTCCTTTGCCTAAGCCCTTTGCCTTTTCAATCCCAGGATTCGGAATCCTGAACCTTGGACCCTAACCGCCAAGCCCCAAAGCCCTAAACCCCTAGACCCTAAATCCTAAACGTTAAACCTTGAATCCTAAACCCTAAACCCTGTAGCCTAAACCCCAAACCCTGAATCCTATACCCTAAACCCTAAACCCTAAACCTAAACCCTAAAGCCCTAAACCCTTTGCCCCCAAGCTCTCAAGCTGAACCTGGAAGCATCTGAAGGAGCTCGCGAATTTTGGCGAGCCCGCCCACGGCTCAGCAGCTGCGGGTTGTCCTTCAAGCCTTGTGAACGGGCTTGGGGTTAGAGCAATACCATTAGTAGCAACAATAGCGATAACAATAAGAAAAATAACATGAATACTGGCAGCAGCTACAATAAGCAGTTCTGAACCCCAAACCCTAACCCCATTTGCAACCGGGTTTAAGCCTCCGAACCCGCTGAACCCTAAACCCCATGTGTTATTTCGTGAGTCGAGACAGGGTAACCTCGGATTTCGCGGTTTAAGGAGTTCTTGAAAGTTGCAGATCGGCCCAACGAAGAATAAGAAGACTTTGGTGCAGATGATGGTCCCTGATACAGCTTCAGGCTGTGATCTTATGGATGCTTGCAAAGTAGGCTATTGCTGAAAAAGCTGTGGTGACCCTCCAAAGCCAGCCCTTTCATGCTTGCACATGCCTCCTGATTTACCTCGAAGGTTGCGTTCGGGAGAGTCTTGTTGGGGCCAGGGTCCTTAGTGTTATGTTGACTTGCAGCATCAAGGCAGGTTCAGGGGTTCAGGGTTCAGGGTTTGGGGTGGAGGGTTTGGCTGCTACTAACTAGAAGTACTATTGCTAGTTATATTAATATTACCATCACTACTACCATTGCTATTACTAGGGTCCTTGTGCAAGGATTATACCATCTACAATGCTGGGGCGTTCCCATGCAACCGCGCGACCCCTGGGATGACTTCTGGAACCTCGGTGTCGTTGAACTTTGCGTCGAGACGCTCGGCAGAAGGGCGCGGTTCTATTCCTAGCCCCGCAATGTGAAGCAGGGTTTATGTTAGGGATTCTGGTGAGTGTATGGTAGGGCACCACCGTCTTGAATATTTGGTAATTAGGTGTATGGTTTGGGTCCAGTTTGGGTTTTAGGAAGGGGTCACTAGCGACAACTCTTACTGCGATGTGCCATCCGGCTATTTTTCGAGTCCCATGCATTGCTGTGATTGGCTCTATTGTTGTTGTTTGTGTTCTTTGCTTGTATTAGTGCTATGGTGATGATAATAATAATGATGGTGATGTTGATGATGCTGATGAAGGCGACGGCAGTCAGTGTGCTTTTGCTATTCTGACGACAGCGACAATTGTTATGGTACCTGTACAGATGCACGCGTAGAAAACAAGATACTTTCTTGTAGTAGATCATTGCAAGTAGGGCTCTCGTTAACCTGGTGGGCTTCCTTACTGCGCTGTCCAGGATGCGGGAGGGTTGTTCGCGAAGATCGGAAGTAAGCATCCTGGGGCGTAGGGTCTATAGCATGGTCCCTTACCTACCCTATACCCTAAACCCTAAACCCTAAACCCTCTTTCAAGTATCAGGAATGAGCAAAGGCTGGAACCATGCCTCCCCGTCCCTGAACCTGTCGCTTCTTTCCGAACCCGACTGCTGCACTTCTGAAGGAGAGGTCGTGATCTTGGGCACTCAATATGCCGGAGAGATGAAGAAGGGCCGCTGGCTTGGTGAAAAGGGCATGGGACTTGAATCCCAATTTCGTTCCATGCCCGCTAAATGCCACACATGTATTTCAATCGTATTTTTTTTCAAGCTCGACCTGATCCGAGGCGTCTTCACAATCATGAACTATCTGCTGCCGAAGCGTGTCCGAAGTCGCAAGAAGCTCCATCCCGCAGGTTGCGTTGAGGCTCCGGTTTGCACACTAGACTAGCGCGTAAACACGGCTACTGTTACCATTCTTCTATTCCTTTTTGGCATTACGTTTATTGTTCTTTTCTCGAGACATTCTGCTCTGTGCAGTCAGATCAATTAGAGGCAGTCCGGATGGGCTCGGCTCGCATCGACGGAGTTGCCAGCTTCAGAGAAAGGTGCTGGCCTGATCCAGGCCCTCGGAACTAGCATCTAGTCTGTAGAGCTGTTCTGGGGCTCATCATCCATCCGGTTGCAGCATTGCCGTGCAGAACCAATTGTCTCAGCAGAACCTTGGTTCAGAAATCAGTTTTATGATACCCTACGACCTACTGAAAGCCCTAACATCCACTCACGGAAAAGACACTACACCCAACACTTTCAACCTTAACCTGAAACTCAAAATCCCAAAGCCTGAACCCGAAACGATTGCATCAAATGCCGGGGACTTAGGTGGCATTCTCAGCATGCACGCCTCTGCGAACGAGGGAAGGCCCCAGCGGAAGAAGTGGTCCAGAGCTGTCTGAATTAGAGGGTTTAGCGTTTAGGGTTCAGGGTTTTGGGTTTGGTGCATCCACTTGTAGTCCTGTTTAAGATTCTGTAGTACTGCAACGTACCCTGGAACCATATTGTAACTATTCAGGCGCCTGGATTGTCTTCGCACTGCGCATGATCATCATTTTCTGCTTCCTCCTGTGTCTCTGTGCCGGGGGGGCAAGTCCCCAAGCACCGCTTACTGTGTGCCATCTTGCATGTCTTCCTCTTCTTTGTACTCGAGTTCCTCTTTTTCTATTCTATCGTTTATTGTTTCGTAGGGTTGTCATAAAGTTGATGCGGATGACAATGCTTCTTTCTGTCACGGTGATGATGATGATGAAGTTGTTGCTACAGCTGCTGCTCCTGCCCGTTATGATGATACAAGATGTTGGTGATGATGAAGACGAATATGAATAAGACGATGATGATGATCAGGCTGACTGTGATGGGTCGCTGCACATGTCGCGGTGGTTAAGACCACCCACATGCAGTGCATTGATGATTCTGATGACGGAGGCACGGGTGGTTCTGCGGATGCAGTTGGTGGTGTGATGCTAACTGCGATGATGTTGACAGTATACTTGCTCCGCGGTTCTGAATCGAACATCTTCCTAAGGTAGAGCATGACGTTGAGGGGACGACGGTGATGAGGACGATGTTGTTGTTGTTGTCGCTGCTAGAGATGATAGTCGCGTCGATGGTGGTGGTGTTCTTTTATCTTCCACTGGTTGAGTTGGGGGCACTATGATGGTGGTCCTATCTAGTGGTGAAGATACGTGTCGCACCGTGCATCGTTGTTGTGGTGGTGATATGTGGTGATTTTATTGGTGCCCAGGATGTGGTGATGATGAGTGGTGATGATGGTGAGTATAAGAATCTTGCTGCTTGCAACGCTGTTGATCGTGTTTTTGACGATGAGGACGATGGTTGTGCAGATAGAGACATCAGATGATGATTTTGATAATGATTCTGATAATGATGATGTTGATGATGGCTGTGTCGGATGATGACGAACCTACGTATCAGCAGTGCATTGGTGCTCCTAGTTCTTTAGCTGGAGATTGTGGTAGTAGCTGCGGTGGTGGTCGGGGTGGTAGTGCTTGGCATGCCGTGTCGAAACATGACTCTGAAGATCTTCTCCGTGGCATTCTGTCAATATCATCATTTGTGTCGCTATGGTTGCATTTTTTGCTTTCTTTGCTTCTTTGTTGCCATCCTACGTGTCCTCCTCTGATGATTGAGGGGCATTGATGGTTTTCTGTCTTTGTTCTGACTTGTCGTATTAGTCCGAGTTAGTAAAGGCTTTCTGATGCATGGCCTTGTGCATCAAGCCCTTAGCACAAACTGGAAGCCTCAGCTCAGAAACTGCAATAGTGTTTGACTTTAAAGCCACGGGCTCACTCGCTCCAAGCAGTGAGCCTCAAAGCAGTAACAGCAGATCCCTCCGAAATCCGCAGCATAGATCTCCTTGCAGGGATGGCGATGTCACTGTCTTCTTCGGCCTTTCGGGCACCGGTAAAACGACCCTGCCACCTCTATGCATCCAGCGGGGTCGGAGGATTCTGAGCTTTTGGCATTTATGCGTGTTTCGGGTTGTAATCCTGTTGGCCCTCGGATTGAGGGCTCAGGCCTTGTGCATTTAGGAGTTTGCGGTGCCCTGGCCACCTGCCATGATGCTCTTATCGCCTCCTCTCTCGTGAGTCTATGGAGCGAGATGGAGATAGATAGAAGTAGAAGCCTATGGGTGTATGCATGCAAGTGTAGATGTGCATATATGTATATATGTATATACATATACGTGCACATATCTAAATGTACATGTACATACAGTATAGATGTTGTGTACGTGTTTAGGTGTATTTGTTGAGTTGTACGTGTGTAGGTGTTTTTGTCCATGTGTATGTATGTATGTATGCATGGATGTATGTATGTATGTATGTATGTATGTATGTATGTATGTGTGTATGTATGTATGTATGTATGTATGTATGTATGTATATGTATGTATGTATGTAGGTAGGTA